TAGTTCATCACAACAGTAGTAGGATGGGGTAACAATGCAACTACGTACATGTGCCCCGGGTACGCATCCCTACGCACAGTCGATCCAGCTGGACCACGGCAGCGATCTAGTGTAGTGTAGTGCAAGCCGCGGTGGACACCGATACGGCGTACCAGTCCCCGACACCAGTCACGGTGTGCCGTTCGCTCGGGCGATCACTGTAATGCTACTCCACATCACACATCAGTCACTCATTCACTCGCAATGTAAATGAGTTCAATACAATTATATTTGATGGACTAAAACTAGTTTCTTTCTTAGTTTGCCATACGAGATTGTGGAAACAATTTCCAGAAAGACATTTTAGATTATTCAGATTCACGAACTATTCCGTTCACTGTAGATTTTTCTCCAAATTTTGTTCACGCCTCGTACATATATGTCGTACAAAGTGAGCTTTTGCCCATTATGGGTTGGCGGGTCGTTCATTATTGTTTAAATAATCAACAATTGTAAAACGCAGATGACCATTTGCTACTAAGCAATGCAGCTGCAGTTCGTTTTTATTTGAAACGTCTTTTACTAATAAAATGAAACAATATAATTGTATTTGGCTCATGAGGTTCATTAATGTGATTTTTTTGGAGAAAGATGCGATGTCTACTTTTTAATCCAGCAAGAAAAAAATGTATAAAATTTTAGATTAGCTTCTGTAATAGTTTCTTTCGTTTTGGGTGGTCCAACTGCCGGCATTGAAAATCGGCTTAGGTGGATTTTTCAATGAAAATATAAGACCCTAAAAATATTTGATGATAATTTTTTGAAAATTTGAATCCAAAATAAGGGCCCACTAGCCGTGAAACCGCCCAAGGCGATTTTTCGGATGGGCGAATTTACGGCAGAATCCGGTAGTTATGTATTCTGTTGTTGCAGAAAAAATTTGGTTCACTGGGTGACAAATGTAATGGGCAACCAAATGCCAGCATTATAGTAAATTCAAACAAATAATGTGAGCATTATCAGAGAAGTTTCAACCACTTTATGCAAAACTACTGAAATTGGATCAGACTGCAAAACAACAAAGTTGCAGTGCACTGATTTCAAAGTAAAAATGGCAATTTTTTTTTTTTTAAAAACTGGCGAATCACAATTTCGGAAAGGTAAACTAAGACTGTGCAGGTCATTTGAATTGTAGTTTACCAGTTCAAACCCCATTCATGATGGACTCTGGAAATATATTCAATGATGTTCATTGACTGGGTTTCATGACTTCATGATTCAATTGGGAATCATTCGGAAGGATGATCGCTTTATAGAATGTGGCCCAGAAAACAGAAATACCCCGAAAGTGGTTAGAGGGTGCTTAATCGAGCATGGGCACTAAGTTGGTCAAGTATGGTAAGTTTAAACCATATCAGTTCACACACGACTGAGATCCAGTTTGGGAATGGTGAAAATGTGTGATTTTGATACATTTTTAGCCATCAGTTATTCAGCCATCTTGAATAGAAAGGTGAAACAAAGGGATGTACATATGTCCGATACAATGTCTGATACATGTGTTAGGTTTGAACTTCATCAGAACAGGTATATGTAGACACAAGTTGGGATAGAGATGCACAGACGCACACATGGAGTTCAATCCAATTTTCCGACTATGTCTGAACAAACACTAATAAATGATGTATACTGGTAATCACGATCTATATGAACTAGACACAGAATATAAAAATACAATTATACTTACATAAAATCGTGCATGTGAGCTGTCAGCTGGATATGCAACATTTTGTGGCCCCATTGCTTTATATAAACCTTTGTTATATCGTACCAGTACACCTTGTGGCCATACAGTCATATCAGACCAACTGAAATATAAAATACATTTTATTTAGTCTCTCATAAAACAGGGATGCCCACTTGAGGCAAGTACCAGTGCTCTCCTTAGGGAAATGGCATAGAGGTAATTTGCATAAAAATGTTAATCGTTTCTATTGTAGTAATTATTATGCTAAGTTATATTTATTGTTTATCCAAAATTAAATAATTTCATGCCAGGCTCTGGACATTGAATGTCCCTGTTGTCTCTCCTGATGTTTTTGTTACTTACAAATTTCATGTACGAGTGCTGAAAGATTTTTGCCACAGAAGCCATTCATGTTTGGGACTACTGTAAAATCTGTATTAGAAGTCACATCCCTAATAGAAGCTGCATCAATTTTTTCTGAACAATTAAGAACCAAAATTTTACTATTTCTCATATGTGTAGGTGCTCTCATAGAAGACAATTCACCCCTGTTGTATTGTACCATTTTAATAGAAGATTTCTAATACAGATTTTACAGTACATGACAAGGCATGTGTAAATGACTTAGTGAAATTTCACAAAATCGGTAAAGCGTTATACAGTGATATAACTTTGTACACGTGCAATGATAAAATGCCTGACTAACACGGACCGACTGCTCACACACAATTGTATAAGAAAATAATTCAGACCATGATTAAGACTTACACATGCTGTGGTGTGTTACTGTATCCATGGTCAATTCTCTGCCATTTTCCTAAATGCAATGCACATCGATGCAGGACATCACAATACTTGGATGGCATCAGGTGTGTGGTAAACATAACAAAAGAGTTCAACCAGACAAAACCAATATGTTGACATGACCACCATATATCAAAGTACAAGGAATTCTGCAAAAAAGTAAATGTAAAGTGTCATAATTACATACTAGTAGTTCATTCTGCATACTGTTTTATGGGGTTCACCAAAACTAAATCCACTAAATACATACGTTTTCTATGGAGTCACAGTTACACAGTTGTATATAGCAGTACTTACATTCTATGGGCATTACCATCACAAAATAATAATAATAATAATAATAATAATAATAATAATAACATAATCACTATGTTAACATATATACACATTTCTTTCAGAGATAATTAAAAATTTGACAGCCATACTGTTGAAAGAAGGCGCGTTACACAGACTTCTCCATACAGTAAAGCCCACTAGCCAATGGTAAATATTGGATTTTGATAAGGCAAATATAACTGAATGTGTAACATTCGTAAAACAGTAAAAAGACATTTGATAGCACAATCACAATGTAGACATTTATTGAGAATTAAAATTGGTGTTATACTAACCTGCACAAAACAGACTGGTACAAATCCAACATAATATGCACAAACCATAGAATTAAATAAAACTTGTTTAATTTTGGCATTAAAATCAAAACGTAGGAGGTCTACTTCATGTCTGATGGCGTCTGGAGACAATGTGCATTTATGATGTGGTAGAACAGCTGTGTTGAATTGATGTAATTCTTCAGTGTTAGCCTTATCTGGTTCTAAAGTAGAACCATACAGTAAGAAGTAAGATACTAACCTGAAAGACAATAAATAAATCAAACAAAGCTTAGAAAGAAAAATTAATCCAAAATTACTTGTACTTAAGATATTGATGGAATAGCTGAAAACTAATTATGTAAATCAGGTAACGGATATGAACAGATTTGAGTGTAAAACTAATAAGGCCTGCGTAATGTAATATAATATCTATGTACCAAGTTTCATTGAAATGTGATTAGAACAAAAAAACTATGAATTATTATTAGAGAATTAATATGAACAAATTTCAACCCAAAATTAATCAGGCCTGTCTATTGTCCTAAAGCATTTATGTACAAAATTTTATTCCAATGTTATGATCAGTAATTGAGATATCAGTGTTAATTATTTTAATAAGGTGATTAATAAGCATAAATATTTACCAAAAACTAATTGGGTCTCTGCTTAGTCCTAGGTTCATTGAAATGTGATGATGAATACTAAAGTTTCATTAAAATCCAATTAGTGGTTCTTTATATATCAGTGGAACATTCATGGAAAAAATAACTAATTATGCAAATTAGTTAATTAATATGTACACATATTTACCCCAAAACTAATCAGGTCTCTGCACAGTCCTTAAGTAACTATGTACCAAGTTTCATTGGAATGTGATGATTACTACTTCAAATATCAAAAGCTGAAAATTAATTAATTATGCAAATTAGGTGATGTACTGATATTACCGTACTTCCCCTGAGTATAAGCCCAGGGGCCTGAACATGTAAAATCGGGAAAATTAGAGGGTGGGTTTATACTCGAGGACCACCTTAGAAAAGATATTTGGGGGTGGGGGTTAAAATTGTAACCCTCTTCCCGACCTCGAAAAATCATCAAAATTACATTTGGAGATTTTTTGATTTCCACGACACTTTTTACAATGAAGAAACAAATATGTTCATAAAAATACACACATTTTATTACAATACGGTTTACATACCGGGTAGAGTCTGAATTTACGGTGCAAAAATGGGTAGGGTCTGTGGGAAAACTGTCGAAGGCAAGATCTTTATCATTATCTTGGTTGTAGAATGTTTTTGATCGCTCGCACACTCTCGATACAAAGCAATTTCCGCCATACTGTTTTTCATCATGATTTGACCTGAACAACTTCCTTTGACCTAACAGGTCATGTCTTTCGTTAACCAATCAAAATGCTGTGTCGTACAGACGAATTTTTTTAACGTAATGCGGAAGTAAATTACCGCGATGTTAAAATGCGATCTGATTTCGACAAAAAACGGTGATTTT